TGTGTGTGGGTGGGGGTGGTGGGGTGTGTGTGTGGGTGGGGGTGGTGGGGTGTGTGTGGGGGTGTGTGTGTGTGGGGGGGGTGGGGGTGTGTGTGTGGGGGGGGGTGGGGGTGTGTGTGTGTGGGGGGGTGGGGGTGTGTGTGTGTGGGGGGGGGTGGGGGTGTGTGTGTGTGTGGGGGGTGGGGGTGTGTGTGTGTGGGGGGGGTGGGGGTGTGTGTGTGTGGGGGGGGGTGTGTGTGGGGTGTGTGTGTGTGTGTGTGTGTGTGTGTGTGTGTGGGGTGTGGTGTGATGTGTGCTGTGTGCTCGAGCCGCTGGCCGGCCGGCCGGCTGGCCGGACAGCTGGAGCGCACTTGGGCTCCGGGCCGAGGGAGCGGCGGGCCGACCAGCTGGCCGGGCCTTTCTTGCTTGGCCTACATTGAGTGGGCTGTGGGAAGGACTTGCGTACCGAGGTCGAGTTCGCCTGGGCGGGCCGAGTCGCCAGTATGACCCGTTCTCTGGCGTTTACGTTTTCTTCTTAAGATGCGTTCAGTTTCTTCCTGGTGGTTATGTATGTATGTATGTATGTATGTGTGTGTGTGTGTGTGTGGGTGGGTGGGTGGGTGATGGCTCTCTGCCTTTGCTGTTCGTGTCACTGCCACAATACGGAGGGGTCCTTTCAACATGAAGGGGGTGTGTGTGTGTGTGTGTGCGTGCGTGCGTGTGTGTGTGTGTGTGTCTGCCTGCCTGCCTGCCTGCCTGCCTGCCTGCCTGCCTGCCTGCCTGCCTGCCTGCCTGCCTGCCTGCCTGCCTGCTGTGTGTGCTGTGTGTGCTGTGTGCTCGACCCGCCGGCCGGCTGCAGACCACTTGGACTGCGGGCCGAGGGAGCGGCGGGTCGACCAGCGGGCCGGGCCTTCCTTGCTTGGCCTCCATCGAGTGGCCTGAGGGACGTGTGTCTGGAGGTCGAACTGGCCTCAGCGGGCCGAGTCGCCAGTACGATGCGCTCTGTGGCATTTCCTTTTACTCTCTAAGATGCGTTGAGATTTTTCATGGCGGTTACTGGGGGGAGGGGGGGGTGATGGGTGTCTGCCTTTGCTGTTCGTGTCACTGCCACAATACGGAGCGGTACTTTCAACATGAAGGGGTGTGTGTGGGGGGGTGTGTGTGTGTGTGGGGGGTGTGTGTGTGGGGGGGGGGGTGTGTGGGGGGGGGTGTGTGTGGGGGGTCTGTGGGTGGGGGTGGTGGTGTGTGGGTGGGGGTGGTGGGGTGTGTGTGGGGGTGTGTGTGTGGGGGGGTGTGTGTGTGTGCGGTGTGTGTGTGTGTGTGTGTGTGTGTGTGGTGTGGTGTGATGTGTGCTGTGTGCTCGAGCCGCTGGCCGGCCGGCCGGCTGGCCGGCCAGCTGGAGCGCACTTGGGCTTCGGGCCGAGGGAGCGGCGGGTCGACCAGCTGGCCGGGCCTTTCTTGCTTGGCCTACATTGAGTGGGCTGTGGGAAGGACTTGCGTACCGAGGTCGAGTTCCAGTATGACCCGTTCTCTGGCGTTTACGTTTTCTTCTTAAGATGCGTTCAGTTTCTTCCTGGTGGTTATGTATGTATGTATGTATGTATGTATGTATGTATGTGGGTGGGTGGGTGGGTGGGTGGGTGATGGCTCTCTGCCTTTGCTGTTCGTGTCACTGCCACAATACGGAGGGGTACTTTCAACATGAAGGGGTGTGTGTGTGTGTGTGTGTGTGTGTGTGTGTGTGTGTGTGCG